GCCGCTTTACTGCCGAGCCTTGGTGGGCTCGCTGATTGGTTAGCTGGCAGTGCCGGTTGGCTGGTGGCCCGCCAAACATGGAAACAACCCGTTAGAGCTGAAAAGGCCTGGGCCTCGTCACAGCGCTCCTCTAGAAAGCTATAATTAAGTGTCTTGAAAAACGCACCACTGTGAAATGTAGCCTTAATCCTGAGTCTTCAGTGGCTGTACTTTTCCTCTTGAATGACGAGAGTATGTGCTCGTGAAAAGAAGGTTGCTCTCTTGTGTTTTTATTATTTTTCTTTGTGACGGAGGCGATTAGAAAAGTGCGTGAACCCATACAGCCAAGCATGTTCTGCTCGACTCTTGATGTACTTTTTAGCATCAGTTCTGTCCCCTCAGCTTTCCTAATGGTGTTAATAGTGAGGACGCATTGGCCTCTAAGTGTCTGTTTGTTTGTGTCTCTGTGCATGTCAAACGAAAGAGAGATGTAAAGAAGCTGACAGACGCGCAGTTATAAAAAGAGAAGAGAGATTCTGCGTGGTTGGTTTGCTGTCAACATTATAGACAGCGTGTGTGTGTGTACATATTAGCGGTTCACACAGTCTTTGTCATTCCAAGTGGGAATGAGAACAGAAAGTTTTATTATACGCTTGATATCTCGACAGGAAAATTAGTCAGAGAGCGTCAGCTGAGTTTGATTTTTATTGAAAACAAATAATTGAAACTGAGCGGCAGAAATACAATATTACCATAAATCATAAAACGCACATCCTGCTCAATGTGGTACACTGTGGTTCTTCACTGTTAGTGACTTCTCCTACTGTGCAATGACTCCAAGCCAGTGTAACACAGTAGATGAATAATACCAGAGCCGAGAGAGACGATCCAGCTGTGCACCAGGCGAGCAGCAGCCGCACTGAACGAACAGCTTTATGCTAGATTCATTACTACATAATATAAAGTCTGTTAATACTAGGCGGGATAGGCCAGATATCCGAAAAGTGCAATACTGCGTCAACGTTCCAGCATTCACATTTAATCAAAAGTAGATTTTTTGGCTGGGTTTAATCCAGGACACTGAAGCAGGGAAGTGGTATTTTTTGATTGAACAGCGTATTCTGGCACATTAACGCCTTCTCTGGTGTCTCCTTCACATCTCCGGGACTTCAAACGACGGATTTTAAACTCAGAGGTTGCCCTACCTCTGACTGACAGAGAGCCAAGGCAGCAGGCCTTACTGTATGAATGCGGGGCTGTATCCTGTAGGGAGCTGGAAGACAGATGCTGGACGTACAGCGGAGAGGCAAAGCGGAGTCAGATGGGACAAACACTCTTTGATGAGCCGAGCTTGTCAGGGTTTAAGTCACGACTATACCGGGGCGGGGGGGTGTGTGAGGCCTTTGTGGCCTGAAGATCAGGCTCTTCCTGCCGCTGCCTGTGATGGGACAATAACAGAGTGCAGAAAATTCTAATTTAAGACTGATTAGTTGGCCTAAAATGTGAATGTAAGTTGATTGTCTTGATAAAATCAGGTTGTGAAATGTATATAATGTACTCATTGATGTTTCTTTTATGAATCAACCATACAAAAAAAATGAAACAGTTCCAGAATAAAATTCCAGTTCAAACACATATGCATTAAAAATAATTAGGCTGATTAAATTGATGGCATGAAATTGACTCAAGGGTTGTTATTATTTCATCCCTAACATTTCCTAAATTAAATTCCACTACTAACATTAAGGATGTTTTCCACATTACCCCAAATGTATTCAGCGGTGAAAAAGTGATATTATCAGAGCTGAAACTTAACTCTGTTGGAATAACCGGCTCCACGGTTCCTGCAAGGCCATGTTTATCACTATTACAGATTTAATTACTACTATTCACATTTATCCATCCATGAATTGTTAGTTGATCTTTGAGAATGTTGGACAATGTGAACCATATTTCTGGTGTTTGGGGCACTCAGAGGGGAAGTGTAACTCAATCACTCTTTTTTTTCTCCTCCTCCCCGTCCACATGACGAGGTGCCAGATGCGTGTCAGTGCTTTCAGACTTTATATATATCCCTCCCACATCCTCACACACACACAACAGACATGTCTGCATGTGCACACCAACATACATACATACTTATGAAACACAAGAAGTCAAGTTATTTCAAGTTACGTTTAGTACTCAAGCTTTAATACTTCTTTTTTCTCTTAACACAGAACTCTTATTATAAAATGTATAAGACTGTATGCCACTTTACAGCATAAAAACAAGCTGCAAAACGCTGTGACAGGACCCAAATAACCTGACAGCTGTGCTCCCAGCAGCTCCCAGTAGTCCCTTTTATTTTGAAACAGGCCCGGAGTATCAAAGGCCTTTGTCTTAAAGACTCTATGCAATAAAAGCCTGTTTGGGAGCAACGGAAAAGGAACACACAGTGGCAATACACATGCTGCTGTGTGATGTGGCACTCAAAAAAGACTCACTGGGAGACTGATGGGTAATCAGGGGAGAGGGTGGGGTGGCTGATGAGAGCCGGCTGAGATATGGAGTCTCACAGAGGGTAGATGATGCCCTCTACAGTAGACACTGGAGGGGCAGGCGAAGCAGGCCTACTCACTAACTGCCCTCAGAGCCAGATCCACTAAAATATGAGACATTTCAGCACTAAAATAAAAGCATAAAATTGTTTTTTATTTTATTTTTTATTCAAACAGAGTTTTCTCTCACAGTGGGGAGTTGTAATTATGTAAGGATGTTAAGGTGCCATTAGTGCTTTATGAAATAAGATTTCATCAAAATATTTGTTTTTGTATTTGTGATGTTTGTTTTTGCTTTGGAAAATATCTTATTTGCAAGTTAAATATTTGTGTATCATTCATTTTGCAGTGGTGGAAGAAGTATTTAGATCCTTATTTAAGTATAAGTAGCAATACCTCTCTGTGAAAATGTCCCTTATTAGAAAATATTACATAAAAAAGTACCAAATGTATTTCAGTATCAAAAGTAAAAGTATTCATAAAAATGCCCCCTGTGAGCATTATACTAGTATATGTCTTGTTATATAGGAGCATTTAACTAATGTGTAAGTAGTATTTTACTGTTGAAGTTGGAAGAGTGATTTTGAACTACTTTGTATACTGGTGGGTAGTTTCATCTATAAAAAGCTATAAGCTCATCATGTTTTGTTTGTAAAATCTTAATCTACAAATTAACTAAAGCTGACAGATAAATGTAGTGGAATAAAAAACATTTCCCTCTGAGACGTAGTGGAGTAGAAGTATTAGCAAGTGAAGTACATGTAAATATATTAAATATGCACCTAAGTCCAGTACTTGAGTAAATGTACATTCCACCACTGTCATTTTAAGATATGAATAGTAACTTGTTGTGCGTAATTACGCATTGTGGAAGTCTCCCATAGGCTGATCTTTTGGCGCTGTTTTAGGTTTACATGTAATGAATTTGTGGCTGTATGACCATTTTACAAGCTGTATGAGACACAGCAGATTATGAAATATAATTTTACACAATTGACTTTTTCTCGGTTTACACAAGAAACGGCCACATGTGTGGATGCACATAAATTAAAGCCCGTGTAAAGTAGAGTACCTGTACACCTGCACAACAGCTCTCCCCTGCGACCGAGTGAAACTCTACTCCTGCCTCTACCTGACTCACCGCTCTCCGGTGACTCACTCACTCCTACCTTATGTAGTGTAACTCACTTCTCACCCGGCCTCGGCTCTCCGAACGCTCTTCTGAGGCGCGTATTGTCAGGACACTGGTAACACAACACGGACTGACTGACTGACGCGTGTTACCGACTGGAAATGACCATCCCCAGAGTTAGGAGCGCGCGGATGGTCCAGGGGAGCGGTAACATGTCGGTATGTACGGCAGGGCTGTGTGTGTGTGTGTGTGTGTGTGTGTGTGTGAACCTTTTTGACTGTGAATGAGGACGGAAGAGAGAAAGGCGTGAAACGTAGCCCCATGTGTGTTTCATGAAGGTATAGACATTACACGGAGACCTGTCCGGTCGTCTATATAGGCGTGATAGATTATGGCAGAGGGAATGGATCTGACTCCAGACACCACGTGTTGGAGTCGCATCAGCGCAATAATTGCTGGGCGCTCGAGCTATATAAACCACAAAAAGCCTGAGCACGGGAAACCCCGGCCTCCAAACACTAACCACATTTACGGCTACAAAAACGGGATTCTATTTTCCGCCTCCTTCACCTCACGGGCGATGATTTTTTTCCCCCCGACTTCATCAAGCTTTTTAACCCTATATACAAAACCTGCGGCACGGCCGAGAGACTTTACGGAGAAATATGTACAATTTGCAGGCGTCGCGGGGTTATAGCTCTGTTAAGTATTGTTACAGCTTATTCCTTTGATTTTGAAAACGTTTTTGTGTGTGTACATAGCCTGCGGGCTCTCTGAGAGCCTTTCAGTTTGGCACAAAGACTTCAATGACGCACCTGGAGCAGCGCTTTGGCTTTTCACTAAAGGAAGACAGACAAAAAAACTTTTTTGAGCATCTGGGTCGGCTGTTCCATTTTAGACCTGCTTTTTTTTTTTTTTTTTTTGAAATTGTATAGCCTATTACGCGCTCGGACATTTATTTGATGTTATTTATATCCACACATGAGCAACTACGCCTGCGTTATGGCGCATGGACGCTTCCCCCGAGAAGTTTGAAAAAAAAAAAGAGCTTGTCATTTAAAACATCATCAAGTTTTCAAGGGTTGTTTTTCTTCCCGGAGAAGTATATTTTATGTCGTTTGAAGGCGCCCACTAAAGTTTGTAGTGGAGAGAGTTTGGAAACGCGGTGTGCGCTCACAAAGTCCCATTTTCCATTGGCAGACGCGCTGAGGTTCAGAGAGCAGCACCGCACACTCCCGAGTTTTCTCCCCCCCCTCCCCGAGTGTGTGTGAGGGAAAGAAAGAGACGAGCTGGAGAGCTTTTGCTGCCTTTTTTGATAATCCACGCTGTTGTGATGCGAATTCCCGTAGATCCCAGCGCCAGTCGGAGGTTCAGTCCGCCGTCCAATAGCCTCCAGCCGGTCCCAGGGAAGATGAACGATGTGAGCTCTCCAGCCGGGCAGCCGGACGCAGCGGCGGCGGTGCCAAGACTGCGTCCCCACGAAAACCGCAGCATGGCCGAGATCATCGCCGACCACCCGGCCGAGCTGGTCCGGACCGACAGCCCCAACTTTCTGTGCTCGGTCCTGCCCTCCCACTGGCGGTGCAACAAGACGCTCCCTGTCGCCTTTAAGGTGAGTCCCGTCTCAGTGTTGTGCTGCTCGATTAAAAGGGGGGTAAACCACAATGTGATTCGGTGTTCTCTGTGACCACTAAATCAAACCGAAAATGTAATTTTTAAAAGGGTGAGTGCATGTTTTTTTTTTTCTTTAAAAACCCGATCTTAAATTAATTTCAGACCGATGACGATGATGATGATTTTAGCAGGGTTTTGTTGTATTTACTCTCTCGTCCCATTTTACTTTTTTATCACCTAGATTTATCAGTTTGTTGTGTGTTGTTATTACACACTTTTTTTAATGTCACTTTACAAACAGAAGAAAATTAAAAAAAATGTTAGAGCTTTGGTAAAAATGTGTCTAAATGTCAAATGAGGAAAGGAATCACATGCTCATATTGTTTTCTTTTCACATTTTCTAAACAAACAAAACGTGCATTTTATTTATTGCTATATAAACTATAATAATTGTGACTCATTTAAAAAGCTTTCCCATCCAGTAAATAATTCCACAATCGAAGCTTTGTTTCCATGGTGATTATTTACTGTTTTCTGTATTTGGCAATAATATAAATATTTTTAAAATGATTAGAATAATATATTACAGCATGGTATACATATGTTACAGCCACACTGTGGCCTATTGTAAGCAACATTTTAATGATTATACTAAATTATTGTAATTAGTCTTCACATGTTGAGTTTTATTGACCTTAATGAGCAGAAAAGCAAATATAGAAATATATATTTTAACACACAGTAAAGACTTATTGTTTATACATTTCAGGCCTCCTAAGGCGTTTTTGAAGTCTTGACAATTTCTTTGCTCCCATGATCATTCACAGGAAAGGCCCTATTAATTACTTGACAGATATTATTTAAAGGACAGATCAAAGACACACCAAAGTGGAAATTTGTAGCTGTAGCCCTGGCTCCAAATCAAATCTGACACATTTTAAAATATATGTGTTATTTAACTGTTCTTATTACAACAGCTCTGTAATTATTGCTGCTCTGTAGGCCTACTCATGCTCTTTTATCTGCATCCAGGAATCTAAATGATAACACGAGGCTTAGACGCTTTTGTTTTAAAGACTGCATTCGAGAAGTGAAGAAATTAAATCCATTTATCAACTGATGATTTGAAGGAGGGGGGTATGATGTAAAACAAGTCTGTCACATCAGCTAGACAAATACTTTCATCAGTGACACTGAAAATGACACTAAGATTTTATTTCTCTCCGCTTTTGGCTTTCACACTGAAGGAATTCCTTTATTACTTTTTTTGCTATAATTATTTTTCTAATTTTCTTTAACCACAATCAGAGGGTGGAAGAGATGGAGTGTATATTTTAACAATTTCAAGTCACACAACGAGGAAGTAAAATGTGTGTATTCCCTTAAAACTTTGCCCCAAGTTGTTCCTAAATTCCTGCCCTTTGACCTTTGTGCCCCTGACAGGTGGTTGCCCTGGGAGACATACCTGATGGGACCGTTGTCACAGTAATGGCAGGCAACGACGAGAACTACTCTGCCGAGCTGCGGAATGCCTCAGGTGTGATGAAGAACCAAGTAGCGCGTTTCAACGACCTTCGTTTCGTGGGCCGCAGTGGCAGAGGTGAGGCCTGAAACACTCTGGGATCCATTCATTGTGCACTACTACGACTCAGTAGGAGCTATTAGGTTCAGTGGTGTGGATTAGTGGTCACATTCCCTTCGTGGCAACCACATAATGATCTCTAACTCTGGGCTCAAATCCCACCACCCGTCTCCTAAAGTCTGAGTGGTGAATCATGTTGCGTCCATTCTCTTTGCTTACATTTTTTTAAAATCTTTTAAAGCAGGTGGGAAAAGCTTTGTTTCCTACTTTGGAACAAAGCTTCGGAGAAAGATAGGATAAGCGTCAGTCCAACATTAGCTGATAATGAAGTGTTGATCTGATATCAAGCAATACATCTTATATCTAATCTTTTTCCTTTGCTTCATGTTCACCTGACATGACCCCACTCAGTTCAGGCTTATTAGCATGTTGGGTGGTGCTGCAGCCCCATGGCTCATCACTCTGCACATATCCTCAGGCTGTCAGGCAGCGAGGCAGAGGCGCCCTCCTATTGGGTCAAATGGCATTCCCTGAATATTTGGCATCACCAAAGCGACTTGTTGCATCATTTACCATCTTGTTACTAAATCATCTTATTTAGGATTTGAGATTTGGAACTGAGGAAGTGCTCTCACCCTCTCTGACCCTCACTGGAAATAGTTTTGCACTCTTTCTGACTGTATAAGTCTCACAGAAAGTGGTCGCCTACATTAAGTTTGAGGGTGATAAGCGCTGTCAGCAGCTCCACCAGTGACTTTCCCTCTCAGTTTCCTTCTCTGTTGTAGCTGTCAAAAAGGGCGGAAGCAGAGGCAGTCAGGGGGGATGAGGGGCAACAAAGTGTAGAGAGCAGAGGAGGCATGGTGGGTGAAGCTGTTGCCATGGAGACCTTGCGTGCGTCTCATTGCTGTGACACAGAATCTAGTCACAGGAAGTGACATAGGAGCCAGGGGAGATCAGACTACGAGGTGTCTGAAATGAATACCCGGCAATGACAGAGATAAGTACAAGCAGAGCGAACTGATAGGATGTTAGATAGCTAAAAGTCATGCACACAGAGGCAGGGGGAGCCAGCAGAGATGGACGAGGACTGATAGTTACTGGGCTGACATGGTGCCACAGTACAATGACAGCAAGGATGGATAGGACAGATGATTCAGAGAGTAATGCGATACATGTGATAACATCGTTAGAGTTAATAGTGTAGTAGTGTACGGGATTGCCTCGACAGTAAACCCGAATTAGATAACAGGTAATGGATGACAGCAGCGATTATGGCAGGGAAGGAGGGAGGTGACGCACTAGGTGTCCCACTTTATCATCGATCACAAGCTCTGGTTCACCCACATGTACCTCAAATCAGGTATGTGGAACACCTGCTGCACCTGTGATCTGCTATCACCATGAATCATCATGTCTCTTCCTAGAAGGGCATGTTTACACTGAACTAGACTGTGGAGCAGAAGAAGGGAGGATACGCTCGGGTAGTTGGTTGCGACTGAATGGACAGCTGCTCCGATGAGTCGCTGCAGCAGAACTGCCCCCCACTTCCTGCTTCCTGTGCGTAGCCATGGTTACGTGATGCGTCTGCATACCTCAGACGTTAGTACTTCTGCTGACTTGGCTTTGGCACTCTGATTCATAGCGTTCCTCATGGATGCACATATGAGCATACACACACAACACACACACACACACACACACACACACACACTTAACCCCAAGGCAGCAACTGCTAGGGATTATCAAGAGAGGAAGTGACTATTAAAATGCCTCTCGCCCACTCACACTGCGTTACACTGGGAGAGAGTCTGGATAACAAGATACTGGCTCCTTCAGTCAATCTTCCATTTAGGCTTTGCCAAAGAACCTAAATAGACCCTCTCAAAGAGCCAATGTTGTCTGCCGTTAATCCTCTTAAAGTCGATTTCTCCCAGTTTGTATTGGCTATTATGTGATCACAACCACACTTGTGACTTGGGGATGGTTTAGCTATGAATGCAGGTCATTGTCTCCGCAGATGGTATGTCATTTGATGTTGTTTGATGTCACCACAGGCAAGAGCTTCACGCTGACAATCACAGTATTCACCAACCCACCACAAGTGGCCACTTACCACCGAGCCATAAAGGTCACCGTGGATGGACCGCGTGAGCCCAGGAGTGAGTACAAAGACACGCACATACAGTACAGTATGGGAATATGCTTACGCACGCAGCAAACTACATTCCACTTCCTTTACTCTGCCTTTAAAGGGGTACACCAGTGATTTAGTCTTGTATTTTAAAAAATGTGGGGAGATTCAAAAGGAGTGGTCAAAATTGAAGCAGCAGAGGCCAGAATATCCTGACTTTTAACCCTAAAGTTCCCTCAAGCTCCAAATATAATGGGTCCTACATTTCCCATAATGCAACTCAATTGTATCTTTGATTAGACACTCCCTGCCTTCTAGATGGCCACACCCCAACCCTCAAGTTTGTAACACAAGCCCACTTTCTCATGCCTCAGTCAAGATAACCCTGATGATATATATATATTTTTTTTAAATCTCCCTCCACAGAATTCATTATACTGTGAACTGCTTTCACAGGCTGAGTAGTACTCCTTGTGACGAAGAAATCAGTGGAGTGCCCCTTTAACTAAGCCATGGGTGTGGCTGACTGAGCAGCTGGCCAATGGCAACAAATGCCCAGCTAAAACAGTGACAGGCTAATAAAACAAGTTAATTAACCAAAAAAAAAAGTTTTACTGGAAAAAAGTTCTGATTGTGTTAATTAGCAATCAACAGGCTTTTAATTAAGTTGACCTCTCAGACAGCTCAGCCTCCCCATGTGAAATAAAAAGTGAGGCAGAATATTCCTGAGAGGGTACACTGGGTAGCAGAATGCTAGCATCAGCTCATTTTAATGGGCCATATAAAAACAACTGAGGAGGGAAAAAAAACTTTACTATAGCCATCAGTGCCAACTGGTCTGGCATGCAGCTGTTTCCCCAACCCTCCTCCCTATTCATAAAAAAAACATATTCTCATCTCATGGCGTCTCAATGAACAATATCACATCACAAACAACCCACCCACCCGCCTGCCCCATCACATATGGCACCAGGACGCACAGAGACACAGAGGAGCCGGGAGACAGTAGGATTAGTACCACCATCAGTCTCTGTTGTAGGAAACCTGCCCATGGTGCCAAAAAACGCCTCAGACACTCAACATTCAGCGTTCATCAACACGCACCCTGAAACAAAGGCACATGCTTGTCGTCAAACGCACATGTACTCCCAATCACACCCACTTTTTCCCCTCCTCGCTCTCGAGCCATTTTGTTTGATCAAAAGCATTTCCTGTGCATCTGCTGTCCCCCGTCAGATGACTTTCAAACAAGTCCTGTTATTCGGTGGCGAGCAGATGGGAGTCGGAGCTGAATTTGTTTAGAAAAGCCCCAGTTCGGTCTCAACAAAATTGCTGTCTTAGATTTGTGTCTAGAAAGCCTTCCTGGAAGCCTGGACATATGTGAAGTGAGATTGAGTCATTAAAACTAGACAAAGGCAGCACTACCTGATATCAGGTGAAGGGGATTGTGGAATAGTGAAGAAACTTCAGACTTTCGACTATTATTCTGCCCTTTGTCCTAGATCAATTTGTGGTCTGCGACAAAGCTTTAAAGTTAAAGTCTGCAAGCTTTAACTTCAGTCTCAGGACAGTAATTTAAGCAATAAAGAGTATGTCATCATACGTAACCCCTGAACTTCTTTACTTTGCTGTTAAGTGGTCAGAATTGCAGCGCCGGTGTAATTTACCCAGAAACTAAAGCCAGAACACGTCTCCCTCTCAGGGGTCATTAAGCTGAGGTCGGAGGGTGGCAAAACACACATGTGCCCTCTCAACTGCGTCTCCCCTCCTTCGGGTTTTCAGCACGGAGCGACTCGGAGCTGAGAGCACCGGCTGTCTCCAAAACTGATTCTATCTGTGAACGCTTCATTGACACATGGGGGGGCTTTGTCGGCCATTACAGCTCTATTTTGTGTTAAACGAGTGGGTAATTAGGAGGCCTGTGGTACACCGGGCCCCTACAGGGAGGGTCCACACAGAGACATACGAGAGAAAGAACAGTGGGCTGTCTTGAGCCTGACATACACTGGAACTCTGTGGCCCTTCTCTGTAAAAACACAGTGTTGCTTCTAGAAAATAAGCTGACAATAACACTTGATTTCAACATGGGCTGGTAACTGGGCAGAAAGGCAAAAATTAATAACCCTTCTGTGTGCTTTTATGCATTTTCTTTTACACTTTTCCTGATGTTATTGGCAATTTCTGCTCCCTGTTAATGACTTGCCTGGTTGTGGGTGTCTCATTCAGGAAGGACATTTTGTGTCGGCCTGTTTGATGAGCCTTATGGTAGCCATATGAGTCTTCCTGAGGGATGTCATTTCCCCAGCGGTTCCTCATCTAATGTCAGTGGGGGTATAAAGTTGGACCACCCGCGAATGAACAGGGGTTCATATCTCTGAAGTGTGGTGCAGAGCTTTAGCTAATTAATTGCGTGGTCAGAGTGACGAATATCAATGAGGCCTAGTTTAAAGATCTGTGGTATGATTTTCCTTAGAGGTTTACAGTGTGTGTGTGTGTGTGTGTGTGTGTGTGTGTGTGTGTGTGTGTGTGTATGTGTGGGTATGGTAAGTGGTTAGACAGGTCCCTCTGGCCACTGTGTTATTAGCAGGAGGCTAACTCGGTTTCTGTGGCTCGCATTGTGCTTAATCGCTTGACAGCTCTTGGTTACTCTGTGGTTTGCCACTGCACCAACAACCCAGCGAGTGTGCGCACATGTATGTGTTTGTGTGTGTTAATGCGTGTGGGCATGTCCGTGTCTGTTTGCTCATGTAGATACGAATGTAAATACATGCATGTCTGTCTTCTAGCGTCTGCATCTGCATGTGTGCACCCAAATGACATGTTTTGCACAGAGAGTGTGTGTTATTGGTGTCATTAGTCTAGTGTAGCCACAGTGCTGATTTGGAGCAGAGCTAATAGACCTCATTAAATGTCATTTTGAGCTAATAGACAGGGAGTGGTTGTTTAAACCAATATGCTTTTATAGGTGGCTCTGTCTCCTTTCAGCTGCTCCTGACGGTGGCTGCAGCCAGCTGAGACAAACTTCCTGAGTGATAATAACCTAGCCGTAATAACACAATATACTAGGCTTTCTGTCCAAACCCACTGTTCTCATTATAGTTAATTGATGACAGACAAACATAGGAGGTGACAAAAACCATTGTGGCGTCACACATACTGTGTCTTGCTGTGGCATACTGCAGTGGTTATTGTGCATAACTGAGTGTGAGTGACGTGTGTGTGTGTGTTGTGTGTCAGCGGTGGAGGTTAGCGGTCAGGCCCGTCTCTGCTCTCTGGTGTTTGAAGCTGCTAGGTCTGGGGGGTTCTGGGCTTGGGGACAGGGTCGTGTTTTGGTTCGATTTTGGTCAGGGTGTTAACAAGTCTGGTGAAGGGGCCCTGGTTACTTACAGGCCTGCAGACAATATTAGTGGTTCAGGAGACCTGTGTGCCAAGCCAAACTCTTCCTGTGACACACACATACTAACACATAAAACGGTACACAATACTTGCACATTGAACTTTATTTGTATTGCACTTTTTCAAAACAAGTTACAGAGGGATTCACATAGCAAATAATATGTGCACTAAAATATTAATATACAGACAAGGGGGGAAATAAAGTAAAATCACACTTGAAAATACCGTGACAAATTAGGGCTAGGGCTTTGTTTGACAAAGAAGACAAGGAAGTTTCTTCAGAAAGGAATTCCAGTCTCCTTTAGTTATACTAACCTGGAGACTAGCCTGGAGACCCTTGCTAGAGGACCTCAGGCTGTGGTCCGGCTCACAGGAGTTGACACATGTATTTGGGGGCTAGACCTAATTTAGCCTTGATCATAATCAGGACCTAATAAAATTATCTCTGATTTATTGTAATTTAGCTGCAGGAAACATCCTGTGTTTAACCTTGTCAAGGCAGTTCATAAAAGTGACAAGCTTGCTATAATGGACAAATATTATTTATACATATGGCCTACTGTCGTCTGCATACAAATTAATATTACATTTGCAAATAATTTCCCCTAAAGGAAGCATGCAAACTGAAAAAATAGCATACCGAAAACTGAGCCTTGTGGCACCCCACAAGTCAGATAGGCAGTAGAGGATAAAGCAGGTTCCGTTGTATCAAATCACCCACACATCTAAACTTATACGCCTTATTGGAGTAGTTGCTAGGCTGCATCCTATTAAAACTCTTTAAAACTAGCATCTTCAGTGCTGCTGGGCTGGAAACAGTATGAGTAAGTCAGATGCCTTCATTAACGTGTCTGTCATGACAACACCAGAAGGCCTCTGAACTGTGTCATCACACACATGCTGTTACATGCACTTGTAAGGTACTGTTTACCTGCTGTAACGCCTGGGCTTTGTTTCTTACAACAGCCGTTCATGCTCAGTGCCAAATGCTAAGATCCTCACAGATGCTAATTACATAGTATCACTATTTAGATTATGTAAGCCAGCTTTCATTTCATTTCCTTGAATTATGTACAGTAATATGAGCCCCTTTATGTTTCTGGATTATCATTCCTTGTCAGTGACTACATCAAGCAAAAAAAATAGAATGTGCTTTTGTACCTCATCCAGGTAATTTCTGGAGGATTTCGGAAGAGTCAGCAAACTCTTTTCTCCCTCACAGACAGATACACGCCCACACCTATCTGCTGCTTCCTTACTCAAAGCAGCTTTTAACAATGGGAGCCGGACAAATAAAACTCACCCAAACATCAGGAGGAAAAGGAATGAAAAGAGGGAGGGAGGAGGGGAAAAAAGAGAGAAGAGAAAAAAAGGGCTGCAGGCTTTTCCAGAGGCAGTCAGTCAGTTGAATGTCTTATGAAGTTCCTTGAAGAGGTGCCAAGGCCTTTACAACACAAAACACAAAATCATTCAGTGGGAGGGAGAGACAGAGAGAAGGACAGCAGAATAAAGAGGGAGAAAGAGAGGCAGAAAGTGAATCGTACAAAGAGACAAAGATTAAGAAAGAAGGTCTAGAATTGGTTGGCCCTGAGCTGCAGCAAAAAACATCTCCGGGGGATTTGTTCTCCTCTGTTCTGAATCAAAACACTTTAATGCGAGCAGAGAGGTGCAGAGGGAGCCTGTCTGAAAACCACACACAAGCCAAACGGTGTGTGTGTGAGTGTGAGTGTGTGCACTTTTTAAACTTTGTGCAATATCATACAAATGTGTATATAATGTGTTTTTGTGTTCAATAAATGTTTCGACTTTGGGAATTGTGTATGTCTGTGTGTTTGTTTGTGTGTGTGTGTGTGTGTGTGTGTGTGTGTGTGTGTGTGTGTGTGTGTGTGTGTGCGTGTGCGTATGTGTATGCCCTTCCCTTGCCTGGCTTGCTTCCTCCGGGCTGGAACGCATGGACCACACAGACGGCTGGCAGCGCTCCACGACAGCCTGGCTCCCCCTTTCTCTCCGTCTCCTTCTCTCCTTCTCGCTCGCTGCCTCATCTCCCACACCTCTCCTCTCTCCTCTCTTTTTTACTTCTTCCTCTGTTCTCTCCTTTTATTCCAATTCCGTATTTATTGTCTCCTTTCTCTCCCTTCCTCCCTCCTCCTTCCTCTATACCAGACCCCCATGGTAGACGGTAGACGGGCGTCTGGCTGTCACCCACTCAGCGCTTTTCCTTTCGAGCCACGCTCTGCCAGCTTCAGATTGCCACCTGAAATAATTCATTGTTTCTGACCGCTCACAAAAACAACATGGCCACTGTGAGGGCTCCAAATAAAAAAGTGAAATATGGACCTAGTGTATTCATTCATCGACTTTACTGGCTGTTCCACTGTGAGCGGACTGCCACACACACACACACACACACACACACATGCACACACACACACACACACGTACACACAACACAGACTGGCTGATTCAACCCAGGCTCCATGAGCATGGGGGTTTTTCTGAATCAGCCCCAAAGATGCATTCATCCAATCGCACCCGGTGATCATAAACCAGACTGAAGGGCTTAGAGGGCATGACGTGACACCAAATTTATAAATTATCCCATTTATTCAGGATTTTCTGGCGCTCCGCATTTTCCTCACATGTTACTTAGTCAGGCAGCAAGCAGGAGAATTTCCTGATGATGTGTCTGCAGTGATAGCTGAAACTTGATGTGTTGGTGTTGGGGAGGAAAAGGGGGGGATGTAGAGACTTGAAATAGCTACAGCTAGCCTAGCCCCATACAGCTGTAACACAAGCCATCTACCAGCATCTCGAAAGCTCATTAATAAACAAGTTTTTTGTAACAAATTTTATTACCTTTAGACAGCGCCAGGCTAACTGTTTCCCCCTGTTTCCGGTCTTAACACTAGGCTAAGCTAGCCGGCTGCTGGCTGTAGCCTCATATTTACCGTGCAAACTATATTGTATCAATCTCTCATCGAGGAAGCAAATGAGCACATTGTCATGAAAAATCCCTGTACAAACCATTCCCTAGCTACAAAAATTTGGGTATTTGAGGAATATTTTTAGCCAGGACATACAACAGCTAACCATCTGTCAAAGATCTCTGTGCTCAGGCTCAGATTCAATTTAATGCTGCCATTAATTACTGAGGACTTTTATTCTGTTTGCCTTCTTGCTCTTACTAACGTTATCAGATCAGCAGGGGCAAGTTGAATCCAGACTTATGTCTCAGAGACGGCTGAAATAATACTATTCTAGGATCAGTGTGCAACTGTGTGATTAGAGATACTATCTATAGAGGTGTCATTAATAATCTTTCTTAGTGTGTGTTCATGTGGGCGCCTGTATTGTGTGTGCATGTGTAAGGGTGTACAGTATACATGATGAGTGTGTGCAAATATGCATGATTGCATATGCAGACGTGTGTTTGCATATGTCCATTCTTGCATGTGTGTGTTTCTGTGTGTGTATGCAAAAGTTGCTCACATCTGGTCTGAATCTGTCCATGTTTCCGGCCGCTGGCTGGGCAGGGAAGTGGCAGGCGCTATCGAAAATCTCCGCTGTTTTCACAGGGATGATGGGAATCTCAGGGACTTTCCCTACGGCAGTGAAATCATCCGCCTTTCCCGCTCCTTTAAATACCCCCGGCTCATTCCTCCACCCTGCTAGGGTTCCGATAAAACAGCTGAGACGTCTTGTGTTTGGCAACAGTTGTCCTCTAAAAGGTGTAATTAACTCATGAAAAACTGTATTTACTGTCAAGGCCTGCTAAACTAATGGACTTGAGGTCTGGCTGTTTGGAGTGTAAATTGGACCTTAATGTGGTGGTTGACATGCTGCATTCCTATAGGAGGAAAAATACGTTTATGTTTCCTTTAAACTGGGTTGCATCCATAGGTTTTTTGACATTATGGTTGTCCAGGGTGGAAGCTGAGAGCTACTGAAATTGTGTTTCAAGTTTTAAGTTACCAGTGACAGAGAGCTGGCTTGTCACGCAGATCAGGATTGTCTTTATCTCCTTAAATATACATGTAAATATCTGTCTATATTTTAGGATTTTCTTCTAAGATGTTGAAACCCTAAACCCTCGCTAACTATTTCACCATTTGCTGTACTCCGTGCTCAGCACTCTTCACAGAGCCTGTGTCTCCTGACTGGTTCAGACCCATCCACAGCTCTTAATTTACTGGTCATCAGGGTCTCTTCCTCTCCATGTGCCTCCTCCCCCTCGCGTCCGTCCCCTTCAGTCTCCCCTCATCTCCCTTGGTCTCCCATTGCTATTTATTCCCATCACTAGGAGACAGGCTGTGCACAAAGGCCGCACTGTGTCCTGGGGCTTTTTTAGAATAGAAATTTGGTCTGTTGAAAATGGAAACGCTATGATTGACTGGGCACAGCTTGCACAGAGAGATGAGAAATGCCAGCAAGAGGCACAAATTATCCCCAGGAACGATGGAGAAATATTATTAATGAAATATGGCCTTGAATTATGTTATAAAGCAAAAAAAACTTCAATAAGCTGAGGTTTTCAAGTAGCTGATATTATCCACGTTCCAAAGCAACTATGTAAAGAAGCCGATGATGAGATTGTCTGTTTATTTTGAACTGTATGATGCCAGTCTGGTAACGTCACTGTAATAAAAATCATGGTCTGTCTGACTGTCACTGGCTGCATTTTCACTGCTGCTATTTTCAAGCCATTGCAGAGCAGAATTCCAAACAGTTTTCCCAGAATAAATGAATTTGTTGTGAAGAGTCAGATGGTTTATAAAAGCATTTCTGAGGCTGAAATAAAATTTTCAAACTTGCATTAGTGGAAAAATGCGACAAAGGATGGGGCAGATTATTTTATTTGATGGTGAAAGTGACATAAAATCTAGGGAGAGAGAGAGAGAGAAAGGTAGGGATGGCATGCAACAAAGCTCCTCAGCTTGGGGGGGGGGGTCATTAGCACACATGTTACAACCCCCTGTGAGGCAGTTTTCAGTGGTCTTTGATCTTTGTAATGGTGATTCAGTAACACAAATGATGATTTTTTTCTTTTCTGAAGATCTCCTCTCCCTCCATCACACCCACCCAGTGCCATAGGTGTAGTGCCAGGCCTTTGTTCCTAGCGCAGGCAGGTTGGGCAGGATTCTGAAGTAGCTCAGTGTTTCTGTCTGAGCCAGCTGGAGCTCTGCCAAGCACAGCAGGAGTTTCTACTCTCCTCTGTTTGATATTTACTTTACCGCCTTTACAGGGGAACTAGTGCAAGACCAGACAGACATACTGACACAGGCCTGTGTCAGTGCTAAAAGGGACTGTGTGTATACAGGCCTTTCTTTCTACCCCACCTTTGCTAAACTATAGTCTACACCTGGGCCCCTGGGTAAGAGGCCGATAGCGCTGCTGGAATAGAAATGGGCTGACTCAGGCAGAGCAAGTGACACATTGTGTTGTGCTTGTGTGCACAATCTGTGTGTTTGCAATGTGCGTGTACTGTATTTGTATATTGGAGGACTCTAGAGTTACCAGCCTGAAACAGACATGAGAATAGAATCAGGTATATAAGGGGTGTAAAATTATCAGCAGGGGATTGCAGGAAAAGAATGGGTAAAATATATTTGGCATAGGTTACGACTCCTGTGGGGATAATGGGGCAATAGCGTGAGAGCTTGTGTTTACCTGAGGAAGAAGCCTCAGGTTAAAGCTAAACATGCATGCAACTTCTCACTCTCAGTATCTTCCTGTCTTAACTCTCTCTTTTTCTCTCATGCAAGGTGATACAAGGTAATTGCCTTTGGTAATTAGCAGGATGTAGCATCCCATTCCCAAAAGCCTCTGTAACCTCCTCCTCGTTTAGGAGCACAAACTGTATTTGCCAAGTAAGCCATGGCACACAGAAGAGCTGAGTCATTAGATGTTTATTATAAAGGATAACTGACAAACTCTATGCCAAAAGAAGAACAAACACATTAAGATCATTAGTCACACAGAGCTAAGTGCTGTCAGTGAGCTTTATCTTACGTAGATAAAAATATGGTTTGCATGCAACATCATGGCGGTAATAAACACTGTTACTAAATAACTGATGCAACTCCTCACCACAAAACACTTTTCTGTGTGACCGCAGGGCATCGTCAGAAACTCGAGGACCCTCCCAAGACTGGTCTCTTTTCAGACCGCCTTAGTGAGCTTGAGAGGATGAGGGTGAGGGTGACCGTTCCCACTCAAGGCCCCCGGCCAGCTCTCAATGCAGCGGCCAACTCCTTCAACCCGCAGGGACAGACGCAGATAACAGGTGAGCGCCAGATTCTCGTCTTTTTACCCCAGACCCAGAAAAGATTGGGTTAAAGCACCGTTACAGCAACCATCCATGGCCGTGAGGTGTCTTAAAGCAGGATCTGACTGTGTTGTAGCTGATCTGACTCCCTGACACCTCCTGTGAAAAGAAATATTTTTCCTTTGGGATTACATATGTTGAAAGTGTAAAACACAAATCTGTATGTGTGTATTATAATAAGTGTCATCTGTCAGACGTGTTATTCCATAAAATGATACCAATACCTTATTTCCCTGCACTGAACAATGAAACCTTTTTTTATCCAGAATGAAAAGAACTTTACTATTATTAGGTTATCGTGTTCTTTTGATATGTGAACTCTTAATGCCTGGTTCCAATGTTACAATACATTCACAGTAATTAAGGCTTGGCAGTCATTCAATATGATCATATACTTTCGAAGAAAATCATAATTAAAAAGTAATAAAATTAGTCATTACAATTTGCAACAGTGGAACACACTTCACTGCTTTCGACCATCAGTTTGATTATTTTCCATGTAATTATGCATTTGCAATATATTATTTTATATTAATATCAGATTTCAGATAGATTACCCAGCCTTGCATTTGCTGTTTCCATTTAAGGATAATATTGTTAAAAAATGTTAGAAAGTTAGATAGAAAATTGTATCCGTTTTACACATTTACACCCAAAATCAAGAAAATCTAAATCTAGCACAGGAACATCTACAATATGCACCACACGTTTTCTGAACAATGTCCTAAAGGCTATCACCAACATTTACTGGTGAAATATCAAACCCCAAGTGGAATCATGGGCACCTCCTGATGGGACCACAGAACGTTGCCCAGTGCAGTATGTTACATTGCCTCCGAGATCGTCTGTCTTCATCTACTCCGTCACTCTATCAATCTACATCCTAGAAGGTAACACCATCTCTCACGGTTCGGGATGGCTGCTACCTGATCACCCACACCTCTGGAGGCTCGTCACAGGTCGTCATTTAGCTCTTAGTTACTCCATGGCACGGCTTTGTAGTGTTACTTAGTGGATCATTTGAGGGATGGTTAAACAGCGAAGCAGTGTGGAGACAAGCAGAGAGTGTTATATATGGATTGGGCATTAATTGCATGTGAACAAACTGCTGCTCAAGTGTAAATATTTTGAGATGAAGCTTTTATATCTAAGAGTAGCTTTGGTTAGAGCATCGGATCCGAACCCTATTTGTTTGACGCACTCCCACAGCTCTGTCAAATAAAGTCAAGCACCCTGATATCCGCACCATGTTCCAAATTGACTATTGCCTATTAATTATATAAAAGTGAATATAATAATGATAATAAAATATTTTTTTTGTTTTTAGTTAACTCTCCTCTTGCTAACTAGTTTTCAGCCACTCTCTGTCACAACACATAGCATATTGGACATATTTTTTTAATCAAATCTTAATCTTTTGTCTTTTCAAATTAGTTGAGCAACTCCACAATCTTTCTACACACCCCCTGGCAACTGCAGAAGTAACCCCTAATTGGGAATCACTGTATTAGAGACAGTAAATCACAACACATTTGTTCACAAATTTCATCAACACATAAAAATAGCTCAACTTCCATGTTCCATGCTAGTGTTGCGGCACCGACACACACAATAAAGTGTGTGCGGGAGTCATTTTCCTGGTTGTGTTTCTCTGGTGTGTTTACATCCTGGGTGTGTGCCAGCAAGGCTCTCTGTGCCTCAGCTGCAAGCACAATGTTTTATAAGGCAAACAGGAAGATCTTCTCTGCGAAGGTAAACATTAGATGTGTCATTAAGGAGGATGTTGCATAACGCGCCCAACTGATACTTACCTCTAAACATACGCACAGAGAAACAGAGACACTAATGATGCCTACAGTTGTTGTGAATGTTATTGTCAATCTGCTATACATTTAAGCAACAAAAAAAAAACTTAGAACATTTGAACCAGCCGATGGGCCGTTGGTAATTATTCTTTCTTTTCCTGTCTGTTTTTTTCTCTTTATATGTCTGTCTGGGCTTTTTTTCTCCTTCCTCCTTTCCTTCCCTCGCTCCATTTCTCCCCATCAGACCCTCGTCAGTCCCAGTCCTCTCCTCCCTGGTCGTATGAACAGACGTACCCGTCCTACCTGAGTCCCATGGCATCCCCCTCAGTCCACTCTACCACCCCCCTCTCCTCCAGCCGAGGCACGGGCCTGCCTGCCATCAGTGACGTGCCTAGACGATTGCCAGGTAGAACCACTACTCTGCCACTGTCTGAAACCACCTGGTTTCCTCGTCCCATTCGGACCGCCTAAACTACTTTAAATAATCCAGATAAAGCATTTTCTTGTGCGATAGAAGGTGGGAAGGGGAGCGAGACAGACACACAAGATCACACTCAGAAACATACAAAGCAAAATAAATCTATATCTACTATTTACTCGAGAACGATAAAGCCCAGCGGGCCGCTATTAGCTCATTCTGAAATGAACGTGAGGAATGAGGCATGTTGTCAGAGTCCGACTGTCTGTGCAGAGAGCGGTTTGGATGGCGTGGATGACAGTGGAGAAAAAAAAAAAACGATTGTTTCCTTTTTTCCTTGCTCCAAGCCTTTGATCCCAGAGGAGTATGGGTAATAACAGGCCCGGGCATAATAACAGGCTCGTGACTGACAAATAAAGTGGCTTTATAGCGATACACCACTCTCACAAGGAATTCTGGGTAATTGCATTAGCCAGTCTGTTTGCCGTAACGGCAGCATCTGTGTTCCAATTTGTCTCTGTTTTTCCCCCAATGTGAAAGCTCCTTTAAACTCCCAACATGCCGCCAGACAAGTTTCTCCCCCGTACACCTGTTTGACTCACTGCCATGTGAGTTTTTTTTCTCTCCGCTGCTTTTTTTTTTTCCTTCTGTTTCCTTGTGCTAACACACTACACCCTCCTCTGTGTGTGTGCCCGGAGCGAGGGTGAGTGATTACGCGACGCGGCCGTGTGACTCTGCATTAGAAAGGGTTTAAAATCCAGCCAGCTGCCTTGTCAACTTTGATTAGTTTGGTCTTTCCCTTCAGCTTTCATCTCACGAGCATCAGGCTTTGTTCTCAAAGTGACACGCGTGCATGTGCGAGCACGTTCACACGCAGGCCAAAACCCCGCCTCCCGCCTTTACCCACTTGCACACCTCGAGCATTTAATGCCTCCTAAGTGATGTGACTAAGGCTCTCAGATCTCTGGAGATCATGTTGACACCTCGCCAGGCTGCACTGTAACAGTATCCAGCCACAGAACATAGCGACGAAGTACAAGCAGAAGCTGATATGGATGCTCCAGTGCAAACTGCACCGTCCCGCCACCCCTCCGCACACACCTTTACACAATCCGTCTCCTCTGTTGAAATGTTACAGTTGCTAAGGAGCTATTGCAAAAGTTCATCAGTCAAGTAAAACACCTAATTCGGAAGTGATGCTCTAGAGTTTGTAAAATCCTTCCAAATATTTAGACAGTGTTCCACTCTGGTTTCATTTAAACTAATAATGTTCGATCTGGCTCATCATCACAGGGCCCCTTTGAGCACTAAAATAGGTCCAAATGTTAAAAGCAGGAGTCAGGAGTTTATTGAACAGCGCCGGTCATGTCTGAGATCACACTGCTCCTCCACAGACAATCACCTACTATTTCTATTAGAATCAAATGGATCTTGTGGAAAGAGGAAGTTTAAAGGCCTTAATTGGCAGCATATGCTATCTGACGCTAGCGACAAACCCGGCTTCGCAATTCCTCCCTGCACATAAACACTGCACCCCCCCTCCTCCTCTCTTCTTCCCCGCCACCCCCTGTCCTCTCACAGCAGACATGGTGACACGGAAGACGCCTGGTGATTTATGATAAGAGCGCCATGGCTGGACTAAACCACTGAGAGGAGACAGGAGGGAGGGAGTGCGAGAGGGGGAGGACCTCCTATTCTCCTTAAACTCTGCGCCCAGCGCGAAGCTCGCCACAGCCAGTTAGTGGTTTTTGGGTATTTTTTAAGGGATGAAGCGAAGAGAGGAACGAAGGGTGAGATGGAACAGCTCCTTCTCAGCTCGCTCTCTCACTCGCTCGCGCGTGTGCACACGGACACACACATACACACACACGCTGGAGCCGATGGGAGGCGAGGAGAGGAGCCACATCAGAGCTCAGCCCTGCCTCATTATGGATCTCATGGAAACTGTTTCTGCTCAAAGTGTTTCCACATGTGCAGCTCCTGATTCATCCCAACTGCTTTTTTATGTGCATACAGTATTCACACACATACACCACCACCACCACCACCACCACCCCCCCCCCCCACACACACACACACACACACACACACACACACACACACACACACCGTTTGCACATACACATTCGCATGCATAAACAGTTATACAGATACACATGAACATGCGCCAACACACACTCAGAAACATAAATATGCAGAGGCGTAAACATATCGCATGCGTGGGACTTGACTGATGTGTTTGTTAGCTTTATCAAAAACTCAGTGGAAGTGAAAAACAGCACTGCATGGAGTTGATGAATGTAACAATATTTACAGATAAATGCTATTCCATGACTGTGCCCGCTAAATCCATTAGCCAAAGTCTTTTCTAAATGAGTTAATACACATATCTGGCTCAAAATATTTGATTACATTCAATTCAGTTTACTACTGTTTCATTTCTCAAGGGACTTATTTGTTCAATTCAATTATTTTACAAGTAGCTTGAGTCCAAAGCCACATTTCACATAATCAAAACTGACAAACTGGTAGAAGTGTAATTATTTAGGCTTGTATCTGCTGTGCTGTTGGTGTCAGAGAATCCTAAAGAAATGACTGTTTTCATGTGTCTTTAGGTTCTTCTGACCTGAGCCCATTCCCTGGTCAGTTTGATCGTCAGTTCCCGAGCCTCTCCCTCACAGAGAGCCGTTTTTCCAGCCCTCGGATGCACTACCCGGCAACCTTCACCTACACCCCGCCCGTCACCACCGGGATGTCGCTGGGCAGTGCCCACTACCACACCTACCTTCCCCCTCCTTACCCGGGCTCCACCCAGAGCCAGAGCGGACCCTTCCAGACCAGCAGCACACCCTATCTCTACTATGGCGCTTCGTCTGGCTCGTACCAGTTCTCCATGGTTCCCGGCGGGGACCGTTCGCCCTCCCGGATGATCCCGCCTTGCACTAGCGCCTCCACAGGGACCTCACTGGTGAACCCCAACTTGCCCAGCCAGACGGAGGGAGGGGTGGATGGCGACGGGAGCCACAGTAACTCCCCGACTGTTCTCAACCCGGGAGGCCGCATGGATGAAGCAGTTTGGAGGCCATATTGAAGAAAACCAGGGGGGCGGAAACTAGAAGTCAACTGATGTCATGGTTTGAAAGCACAAAACCTTTTTTTTTTATTGAAAAGGGGATTTTTGAGCTCTCATCAGCTATCTCTACCTTTTGCTTGGAAATTAAGGTTGAGATAAAAAAAAAAGACCAGACTTGTACGGACTTGTCTTCCTGGAATGTGTTTTGACCAAGGCACTACAAAGGGAGTCATTCTCACAGCAATAATGAGAAAGACAATTTTACTAGACCCAAGTGGATGAGACATTATTTCAGTTTTATTATAATCCACAAGCTAAGGGATGCTTCAACAATATTTGTAAAAGACTGCCTCTTTTGTACAGTGTTTTTATTTCAATAAGGCTTTTTTGCAGAGCATGTTTTTGTACTATGACAATATCAAGATGCAAGTTAGGCACTGAGTAGCAAGTGATGAGAGTAACACATATGTTACCTTAAGTGGTATGGACAGTAAATTTGCTTTAAACCAATTAATTTAACTTGTATATTGTGGGTGAAACGTTGATGTAGATTGAGGCGTTTTTCTTAGTTTTAACTTATAAAGCCATAAATTATGTATTGTATTTGAAACTTGAGTCAAAGAAGTGTAATCTGAATATTTTTGATGCATCTATATGACTAAGTTAAACTGATTTTTTTTTTGATAGGTAATTTAACAGAGTGAGAGGTTTAATTTTTTTGTAGTACCCAAAGATTTAAATCGTTTCGAATATGAAATGTAATTTCCAAAGAGTATTGCGACATGTTTCTTCTGGTGTAACTTTCAGTTTAACTACTCCACACGTTAAGAGCCCAACATCCTCGCTAGGCGTTGACACACATTTGGCTTGGAATGAAACCTTTGGTATTTATTGAGCAATAACTCGTATTGTGCCTCTTGGCAACATACCATGAAAGAGAGCTTCAATGGGGAAAATAATTACCCGATGGGGAAATTCTGCTTGATTTCTTTAGTTTGTCTAGTCTGACATGCACACAGATACATACATATGTATTTTCTTGCCCAAATAAGAAATGGTACATTTACACATGAACCGACATGTAGTCCAAAGATGATTATGGCGGCACCACGCCTGGTGGTGCTCTGGGTGCACTCCAAAGCAGAAGGTCAGACTTTAAGGTTCAGTTATTTTATGATACGTGAACTCCTCAGGACTGGAATAATCCTTGGATGAGTCCCAAAGATTTGGTAAATCTGCATGTCTTCTTTTCATATCCAGTCCGGCTGAATGCTCTGTCAAGATTATAGGGAAAACATGCCAAGTCTATTATAGCTTTCATATCATGTGCAAAAGATAGCTTTGAAAAAGTGTGTCTTAGTGCGTTACACACACGGGTACTTTTTTTGTTTGTCTCTTTGCATTTTTCTCTTTCAGTCTCTGAGATTGAAAATATCACAGTTAAAGACAAAAGAGACTGTGACATTCCTTCAGACATTTATTTATTTTCCCTTTTTTTGCTTTTGTTTTGTTTTTCCAAATAGATTTCTATCATCACTAACCAGTGTCACGATCTAAAATTGTTCTGTGGCACCAGTGTGAGGGGAGGTCTGATATTTTCCAATTTGAAATTACTATGTGAGATTTAAAAAAAGTGTTGGAGTTGAAGGAAAAAAAAGTGCAAAAACCGAGGTGATTGGATGCAGCTGCTGGCAGCAAACTGGTAACCAAAAAATATGGGAGACTTGTGTATGTTTGTTTCATAAAGCACTTATTTCTTGTTTTATTTCTAGCAGCACTTGCGGCTGGCTGCCAGCAGGGCTCGTGGTTTTGGTCCTCAGTGTAGATATAACGCCACTGGAGTCACATACACACACACGCACGCACACACACATATACACACACAGAATGGATAACACTTGGCCAAACAAGCCATTTACATTGGAGTTGAATCTGATCTCACAAGGCAGTTGGTATTTGTTTGAAAAAAGCATTTTTCTTGCTTTCATACAATATGATATTCAGCGCATGTAGGTAATATAATAACCCAATTTGAAAAAGCTGAGAAAAACATGGCTCTGTCCAAGGATCAGACTTCAAGCCTTTCATTGAAGGTTTGCACGCAGTGCCTCTTTTCCAGTCTCTGCAGAGGATGTTCTGAACTCAGTTAATGGAATTGAACATGTCACACTACATTTCCCCAACTGCTTCAGCCCAAACGAAAAGTCTTTTTGCTGTTACAGTGTAACATAAGAAAGCAAATAAAAACCTTTTAGATTGTTGTGATTTTATAGCTTTTTTCCCCAATTACAGATTTATTCAATGTCTCCATAGTAACTATGCACATCTGTTGGAATTTATTTAATCTGCTTCTTTCTTTCCAAACTTTGAACAGGAAATGGTCTTTTAAAAACTGTTTACACATCAATGCAGCACTGACATCCCATTTTGTCCTCATCTGCTTTTGTTTGTGTTGTCTTTTTTTTTTTCTTGAAAACAAGAAGTTCATCCTTTTTCTTTGCTTTGGTTAAATGTTGCGTACAAACTGTCATCAAAAACTTGTATTATTTAATGATCAACATGTATGATATCCAGGAACCGTACCTTACCCTGCTCTTATGTAAAGTTTACTTTTTATGTCTATTGTTATGCTTCTTCTCTCATGAACACTTGTCAGGAAATTTAATCTAATGGAGACTCCATTAGATTTTGCTGGTACGTTTCATAAAGATCATCTTTTTTTTTAAAGGGACAAACAGACCTGACAACAGTGAGTGAAATTGGCATTGTGATTGTACATTTTGTTTATTTTAAGAATAAAATAGGAATTTTGTAACTTAATTTTTCCTCTTAATCTCCTCTTTCCACTTAAATTTAACTTTGTTTAATATAAATGGGCAATATGCATGTGATTATCCACCACATTTTCTGAGTATTTAGATTTTCTTGTCATTTAAAGTCTCTTTCGGCTTAAAAATGTGTTTTGCTTTTTGTAACTTAATTAATGATGTATTTGCAGAGTTTGACACTAGACGGCTGTTTCTGTCTTCGTCTGCTTGAAGGGGCAAAGTTTCTTTGTTTCTTTGCTTACTTTAAAACCGTTTAAGATGTAAACATACCACCATTATTTAGTAACATCACAGCTAGTTTGGAGGACAATCATGGTCCAATATGCAAATGACACAAATGTTCTTTAATTTAAAAACTTTATGTATGTATCCACCATATTTTCTGGGTATCTGGATTAGACTCACACTCTTAATTTTCCAGGAAGATTCAGCGTTGTCATCACGTGTTTAATCTTTTCTGAAAAAGTTAACACGCAGATCTACAAGCGTGTTGCGCGTAGGAAGCACAGTTAGCAGTATCATCTCTGGTCTGCCGCTCTGTCTGCACCAACATTGTCTTTGGACGGGGGACTAAGGCATGCTGGGGCCCCGGCACGCTCAGCCAGACTACTACTGCCACTGCCACTGCCATGGCTTCATTTCAAAGGTACACTGGGAAACCAGAGAGATGGAGACAGGAACAGAGACAGGGAGAACCAGGGAAGCTGTTTTACATTATTCCAAGACATAATAGAGCCAATCTAAGTGTGCGCACACACACGTACACATGCTGAAATAGAGAGAGAGAAGAGAGGGTGAGCTACACCATCCCATGTGTTTTTTTAAGGTTCAGATTGGGAACATTCTCGGGATTTCCCTGAATATAGATTGCACGGAAAAAACTCCTGCTGGTTTCAGGTTCACATTCGCAGCATTCTCAGCCATGTCTAGCAATTATAATAATGAACTCCGGAGGAGCAACGGGACCCAGACACCCAGAGAAATTAGCATAATGTCCTCCATGCACGGGAGAGACAGCAGCAGACTCATTTAAGAGGGGTTGGTATAGAGTTTTAGTCCCTGTTAAATTTGGTGGTTGAACATGATGCCAGCGATGATGTACGCTTGATTTTTATACCAGGTTGTGAGTAGTCTCACAGCAGCACAAAGAAGACTGAACTCTCTTCCTTATGTTATGCAATCAACAGAGAGGAATACAAACAGAAGTTTATGAGGAGACAAAACCACTCCATTCAGATGAGTGTGCACACACACAAACACAAACACACTGCTGACAGCCCAATGTAATTGTTTACTTGACCTCTGCAAACGTTTCAGAGGAGCAGCTCAGGCGGGAAGTCATCCTCAAGGGTCCCATACCACTCACAGAGCGTATATCTCTGCCTATGTTTCCATCTCTACTAACAGGGCTGAGCGCTCTGTGAGTGTGTGTGTGTGTGTGTGTGTGTGTGTGTGTGTGTGTGTGTGTGTGCGCAAGAGTGCACGAGAGTGTTTTCTGCCCTCAAACAGGAATCCATACATCTTGATTTCTCATTTATTCCAGAGATAAACTCAGGGCCGGGGACTCCAGAGTGCGCCTTGACTGTCAAAGCAGCACGAAGCGCTGACCTCCCTGAACCTTTCTAATCTGATGTAATCTGAGTTTAACAAATATGGAGACTGGCCACCTTAATGTCTCAGAGGAAGACCATCTTTGAGCTCAGCCCATGCCCACCATCAGTCACACGAGACTGATCTTAATTTGATCTGATTGTAATTGAGCAACCCCCCTCCTGGGCCAGGAGAATTTCAAACTGAGTCAACAATAACTGTGTACTTTGGCGCACTCTAGTGGCTTTTTTATTTAACCATAGGGAACGGGGTGAGGGGCCCACCCAAATGGTATTCCATACAGCCAAAGGCAGGCTGGATGTGGCCAAACTAGGGCTTATTATGTTAGTGGTACTCCTGCTAAAGTTCCAACACCAAAGTCAGATATGAAAAGTTCTTCACCCTCACAGAGAGGGGGTTGTAAACGGCGACTTGTCTTTTAACCTGTAATAAAAGAAATGATCAATTGGCAGGCGAGCTGCATCCAGGCACCAGCCCAGAACCTCACAGACATGGTAGGTTGTAAGGCAGCCCAACATCCAGCACCAGAATCTATTCATCACTAGATTAAAGCATGCCTGTGTCTTTAGCCTGCTTTGGAAACATTTGATTCCATGAAACCATTTGCTGCAAAGTGAAACGCAACTCAGAGAAAAGTGCACTTATGAAACATAAAATGCCTACATTTAATGAGTTCTGCCAGTTCAGATTATGCAATATGATACTGGCCACACCGGCTGAAAAAAAAAAGGAATTACTGTGAAAATGCGAGTGTCAGGACCATGGACAGCGACCAAACACACAAACAAAAGGCCTCTTTGTCCAAGGCCTCCGCTTCATGTCAATGTTTCAAATTATACACCATCTCAACTGTCAAAAAATGGCAAACTGTTGCAGCACGACTGAGTGTACAGAACATAAGACAGGATAAACCTCCACGTGGTGCCAAATATTCATGCAAAACAGGCCTTTTTCCATAGGTTTCAGCCAGGCAATAAAAATTTCAAAAATTTGGGCAGGGGCCCCATCTTTGCCTGAAACCAAGCATGAAGGAGCGCTATGTGTTCTTCCTGTCAGATGAAGGGCTGTTAAAACTTTATCAGGCGAGTGTTAATTGAGAACTAATGGACTGGTAATTCAGAGCAGTCACTGAGACCCAGTTCACTGCTGAATGACATACAACCCTGGTGACATTTGGATCATGTTGGGGCTTTTTGGAAAATCCACCACACGACCATAGCCATCTGGGGATGCCAGGCAAAAAGGGGGGTGAAGGATGCCCGCCATCGTGTCTGGTTCTGCTTTAGACATTCATCCTCTCAGTCTCCAAGGATCATAACTTGTGTTAGAGGCAGGTTTTATGGTTTATGACTGGAAAATAAAATGCTGCACGTTTCCTGCAGGCGAACTGATGATTTACAACTATGAATGATAAAGTGAGCACCCGGCTGACAGTGCGGATGTGTGAGGGCTGCTGAGGATCCAGACATGTCCGACATGTGGATGTGAGTGTGGTCGTATAGCGAGTGTGGTCACCACAGTGCGGTTATATACATTGGAACACAGCATAGAGGGAAAAGTTCTGGCTCACTTGTAGGTATCAATACCTGACATCATCATCTCACATAATTAGCACAGTGTCCACATCCTTCTCCAGTGACCATGGATTATTTCATGTGGTCCACAACTGGAACAGAAACCCTAACCAGTAAATCTAACCAAGAGCATAAATACCCCCGGGCTCTGCTGTCTGCAGACATAGTTACTCATTTCAACTGCTCCTCTCCAAAAAGCCAATCAGATATGTTTATTGTTATCTTCTGCCTAAATTTGGGCCTGATTATTTAAATACACAGAAAAATGTCTTGATCACCTGGCTCCGAACTCAAACAGTCTACACTTCAGGCCACGACAGGCCTGTCCCAGCCTCCACACAGCTTAAGACAGGGGCCGGCGTGTGCCAAGAACTCTCTCTGGTGAGGTCGTCAGTCTTACGCCGAAACCGCAGGCGCGCGCCAGGCAGATCAATAATCCCCATCAAGCTTCACCACAAGTCACTCAAACCTCCAAGGGCAGGCGAGCGGAGGAGGGTTGGGGGACCTGCTGAGAATTTGATACTCTCTTAGATGCTCTCTGTCTCAGAGTGGAAGAGATGAGGACTTGTCTCCGGCAGCCCCATCTCTCTTTTAAACATGATCTCCTGTTATGACATGGTTCCTGTGGATGTCGGCCGTGCCCTGATTAGACATTTCCTTCTCAGGTCTGTAGGACCTGGGTTGATGTTGTCACATGTCACATGTCAGTCATTACCTGACATCAAGAATGACAGCAATAAGTGATTGGAAGGTGTATCTCAGAGGCATAAGAGAGTTCAATTTCTGCTCAGATTATTTGTGCCTCTCGTGTGTATTAACATTACATTCAAATCCCAAAGCCAATCAGTCGACAAGATTATTTAACAAACTCCCAGAATCCTAAAAAAACATTTTCATTTTTGGCCACCATCTTTGTTTGGATTACGAAAAACAGGCGTATGACATTACAAAACAAATGAAGCCCTATCTGGTCCTATTGCAGTTAAAGGACATGGATAATACAGGCTTTCTACTAAAGTAGCAGGACAGCATGAGGTAAAACCAAACTTCACCTCAGGCTGAAACATATGTGTATGTCTCGTGGGTACAATATCTATGGTAAGCAGCAGCTAAAGGAGCACTGAGGTCTACATGGCAGTATTTCTTAAACTATGGGTCTGGCCCTTAATTGGATCACAGGTCTGTTTCTGGTAGGTCCTCACACGTCAAAGGCACCAGTTTGTTTTAATCAGCTCAGGTCTCAAAGCAGGACTCAATTTAGACAATTTATGCCTGAGCTGAAAAGGTTTACTAACCCTGGCTATAAAAGTATGCTGTGTGTGAGTCCCTGTCAGCCTATATGGACTCCCCGTGCTATGGTGGCCAAGCCAAGGCCAGTGACTGGTAGATCCACTGGGAGTGTAATAACAGATTAATGTGGCGTGCCAGGCCCCATGACCAGACGTGTTTGACGTTAATGCTCCACTGTATATTATCCAGCTTGCAGAAATGTTGGATGTGAGCGATGGGATCCAAGGACAGGGATGTTTAGGTACTAATTACCAAACAGCAAGGCACAAGTCTCGCTCCATATTTCCTTACTCCTGTGGAAACACTAGGCAGGCTCCATTTATTTTCTTTGACTGTTGTTTCTGGCACAGCCGCGTCTCAGTAAACACCACTCGCCCACCATTGTAAATCCGACAGGCGCAGATCTTTCAAGTTAGACTCCTTTGAGGAAAAATGGAGACAGATCGGATGGCGGCGCTCGGGTTTTCCGTCTTAATGAGAGAGTGGAGAAGAGGGATGGCGTTTGATCCCTGGCATG